TGAAAAGCTGCAGAATCCTCGAGTTTATGATTTGTGAGAGCCACATAATCATGTGACAACCCTTGACTAGGCCAAAAAAACCGTTTAGTGAACTTTGTTCCCATCTATGCCATCACTGAAAAGACAAAAGACTTTGCGGCATGTCCCATTCATCAGAAATATGTCACAACTACACGATCACTATGAGCAAAACTTGCAATTGTCGTCAGCCTTGTTTTCAGCCGGTCTCTATACTCTATTGTTTGGCGAAATCTCGTCAAGCATGCGGCTATGGAGGAACTCTGCTATGTGCTCATACGCTTCTTTGTGATTAGCTGCAATGTTTCGATGGCAACGTCGCGTTTTTTAAGCGCAGTGAAGTACAGCAAACAGAAAATTATACGACATGGCCTTGAATGCAATCTAGCATTTTTTTGTGATGTGTGCTCTTGTTGCCGATGAGCGGAACAGTCTACCTGAGCGATGCCTCTCTCACAGTAGAATGTTCATGCAGCTTGAAAGTACCATTTCTTAAGTTGTAGTAGTTTCCTTACCTCCATAGTGCTTCGTACTCCGATAAAGATCCGCATCCGTGGGAAGCCCAAATTGCTATGCTCATAGCTAAAATAAAATTTTTGAGAAGCAGATATCGTGAGTAACAACAAATATCCCAAAAAAAACCGAAAAAATGCGTTTTCATAGCCATTTTCGCGCTAATAACAAGTTTTTGTAACTGTAAACGAATTCCAAAGGTTCTGGAGCCTGTTGAAGTTCAAACTGCTCCAAATTGCGCGGAGAGTCGAGTCGCCCACGAAAATGCTGGTTTATCTCGTCAAGAAGTAATTTTTTAGCGCCGGCAAAGTTGTTAGTGCTCCTAGTCGTCTTATGACTAGGAGCACTGACAATGATATATGTTTTTAAAACTGTTTTGTCTTCTGTTACCCTCTTCTGAGCATCGCCACTTCAGGCTCGTGATTGTTTTTGGGAAAATCGCGGATAACCAGCTTCCTATTTTCCTTCGAGTTGTGAAGCTTCGGTTCCTTTTTCTTACCTGCATTTTGAAAGTGTGCCGAAAGAAAGATTTCAAAAACCTCAGTGAGCGTTTTTACCCTGTTTCTCTACAGTTTCTTATGCTCTTTCTATCACTTCTCTTTCTCTTTTCTAATTCTCTATAGAGAATCTTCATTTTTCTAAGGGCAGAAGTACAAACAATATTCGTCTTTGTTGTGATAGCTATCCCATGCCCGTCGGCTACACGACATTTCTCTCTGCGAAGTCTTATTTGCAGACGAGTTTTCTATTTTTAAAAAACGCAAGCAAAGCTTTGCCCCAGTTCTGCAACGTTTGCGAATGTCTGTCACATCGATAAAGCGATATATCAGATTGAAGCAATGACTCTGCCATATTTCTCTGAGAATGGGTAAGCTCTACAAAACAACATATTCAGTATTTAGGATCCTGTCTGGAAGGAAACGCGCTCTTCAACACTTATCTGTCTAAAAAGGAGGGTTGCGAAGTCTTATCGCCACAAACTCCTTTCCATTATAAAAGCTTGGGGTGATGATTTTATAACTGCTTTCCATATCTGCGAAGCGTTTCTGAAAAGGAAATTACGAGCATTTTTGGAGTCGAAAAACTAATGGCTGGGATAAGATCGATCACTACAGCCTTTTTAGACTTCAAAGGAGTCATCGGCAAGTATCAGGAAACTTTAGACAATACTCCTTTTGTCTATATTTGACGTCCAGAGAGGTTGTAGCGATTGATTTTATTCCAGCCATTAGTTCCTTTTCGGCTAAAAAATGCTCGTAACTTCTTTCCCAAAAAAGTTCTGCAACGGAAAGCGGGTTTGGAATGAGCTATCCAAGCTTTCCCAATGATTATACAAGTATGTAGTTGGCCCTTTCGACTTTGTGGCTTTCCTGTGTAACAGCAATCCGAAGCAATGGGATGAAAAATCAGCGTTTTGAGTCCACGTGAAGAAATGAAAGTGCTTGGGATTGTTCAGAACCATTGAGCCAATGACACAGTTTTTCTGCTGGTCTTGGTTTCCTCTGCAGAAGTCAGGTTTCAAATTTCTCGAATGGGTCAGTTGTCACGGCAGAGGTTTTGCAAGAGAGATTTTTTTCGGAAATTCCTGGAACTAGATAGCGACAATTTCTTGCAGTGCAGTGACCGTTATGTTTGTACTCACTGACCTGCGGAAGTTTTGACCAACAAAAGACTATCGAGACTTGTACGAATGAGGTTTTGCCAGTGATCAATCAGCATAAACAAGCCTATTTGTTGATTTATGATCCCCCAGTTCTCTAGAAATTCAAAAAAAACTTTGTTCTGAGCCTCTACTAAGAGGGAGTGTGCGACTGCAAGAGGCAGCAGACGATGAGAGTGGTGAGATGGCGCACGATTCACATAGACGCCAGACGCGTCCGCAATTGCGTCCAGTCCGAGCGACAAATGGTTCGGTTGTGCTTCTTTGCAGAAACACCTCTCGCACTTTTCCAAATGCCTCAGCATCCCTGCACTTTTGCGAGTTCATCGAGACGAGTCTTCTGCCTGCCGCTGGTGCTCACGTCGCCTAATTGATCCGCCACCAGGCATTTTCCTCATTCTCTTAGGTGTGTGTCCGTGTGTGAGTGCCAGCAGCCGTTAGGACTCGATCGATCTCGTCCAGCCACCCATGTCTGTCGCCTCCCGGTTCGACGAACTCACTTCTCACATCCCTCAGGCATTCACTTCGGTTTCGTATTGCACCTATAACATTTTTCCACATATGGTGCCATATGTTACAGGTTTGGCCAAGTTTTAAACCCCAGGGGGAAGCCTCTTCAACGATTACGCAATTTTGCGGAATGGAGAGCTCGTAACTCCTTTTCCGTGAGACAAAAACATTTATGAAGTCTTCCTACTTCCATTTTCCTGTCTAACCCTTGGATATAAGAAGTTCCTTATCTCAGCTTTTCGTGAAAAAAATTGCTGTCGAAGTGATGAGTATGAAAATCCCCCTAGCAATACAGCTAATGCACTTCATCATACGCCTAATTTTTTCTTGTTGTGTACTGTAAATCCCCATAGAGCTTAAGTGCTGTTTAAACGCTTCACAGTCGTCACAGAGCCCTTCTTTTGTGCAAGTTTTTGCTTGCATACCATAATCATGTGCGTATTTTATGTTTTCGCACTAAATGCACAATCTGCACTGTTTGCTGGGATACTGTAGCCTAATGCCGTTAATCCGTCAGACTTGCATAATAGTGCCACTTAATGCATAGTGCGGATTATTGTTAACCACTCAGCCGTGAGGGGAGCTTAGCCTGCTTTTCATTTTCCGCTGCTTTCCCGAAACGATTATTTGTACTTTTCTTTATCATTTCTTAGAAAAAATTTACTCATGCTACTCTAGCTTTTTTCGCACTTTCTTTCTCAGCTTGCATTCCTATTTTTACTCTATCTAGCACCTATTTATTGCTTACAGTAATCCAGAATACAATTTGATTTTAGTTTGAAATACAATTTACTACATCTTACTAAGTGACGTAGTATCCAAGTGAGTCGTGAAAAACACCCACAATGCACATGTCTCGCTCAGACGTTATAATGATGAAGTCTATAATTGCGAAACTTATAATCAGCCATTATCTAGTGAGAGTTGCGGTAGAAAACAGTTCATTGTTCTTATGGATTACTTAGCAGATTCATGGATTTTTTGAATTAATATATTAGGTTGATTCAAAAGTTCTGTAGCTTTGCTTCTGAAAAATTCGTAACTGCTCCCTATGTGAATGAATTGACTTACAAAAAATACCTCCAGATAGAAGAATTTATCTACTTTTTAGCATCTTCGCTATTATTTGTCGAAAAAGACTTCAGAAATAAAATGGCGAATAGGAGAATCACTCAAACTCATGATTTTCAAAAATAAATTTGAAACGCTGCAGAAAAATCTGGGAACAGGTTTTTTGAAGGTTATATGAGCTGCTCTTCTTAATGGTGCAAAAATTGTGCTCATCGAGCTTTTTCACGGAAATTCATGATTTTCGTGAAAAATACAAATAACGGCCTGTAAAAAAGAGCAGGCCACGTAGATTGTAATAAATATGTTTTTAGATTTTTCTGTATTCTAGAATTTTGACAATTTCTTTTCCGAAATTGGGAATCAGAGTGGTTCTCATATTCGAACTTCCTCTGGAATCCCTCGTAGAACCGCAAAGATATCATAAAAATGGACGAATTTTGCTTTCTAGAGAAATTTTGTAAGTAAATACTCGCATAGGGAGCAGTTACGAATTTTTCAAAATCAAAGCGACAGAGCTTTTGAGACAACCTAATATCTTCTAGAGTTCAACGACCAATAGCAATCTCTCTTGACTCCTCTCGTCATTTCCGTGATATCCGGCTTTCTCCTATGAGCATTGACTTTGGCCGAATACACCCTAGGTGTAAACAATTTCCCTAAATGCTTACCCATGATCGGGGTGAAGGAAAGGTGTTTATCGCTCCCATACGTTTTTTGAAAGAAGGAAGCAGGTTCTGGCTATTTTCGTGAAACTACGCAAAAACTTCGGGGGTTTTTTATCTGATTTATTTATTTATTTATTTATGCATTCAATGATGCGCTTAACGAACGTATTAGTTCAACAAGATTGTCATAATTCGCAATAAATGATGAGACAACAATATGCTAGGTTTCTCAAAAATCAAACCGATCGTACTGCAAAAATAAAATTATGGTATGTTGTGCAACTATGTTGTCAACTTTGCATCACAGAGACTTCTGCTTCGCCGAAAGAAACATGAAATAAACCTACGTAGCAGCTATTGTAATTTGTTTAGTTAATTATCCAAAACCATGTGAGCCAAAGTAATATTCAAGTACCAAAGTTAAACTTTTGACCCTAACATCAATCAAAATCGCGCAAACACGAAAGATCATTAATACACTCAACACATAAAGAACTTTTAGCAGCGCCAGTCAGCAACTATTATGTAAAGCCTAATCACAATAAGTAGGACTTACGGATAGAATGGAAATCTGCGGACCCAACATGCTGGAGCTTTCCAAATGCAAAGGTGAAAAAAGGTTTACATCGATTTTTTGTCCGTTTTAGCTATCACACCTGCACTGTATTTAGCATTGGAAGAAAATAATGTCTCCTTTTCGTCCTTTTAAGCAGGATGACATTCTGAGAATGGTCAAAATTCCGAAGGTTAATGACAGCAAGTCACAAGGCCGCGAGGCAGAGTTTGCCATTTTCTGATTTTTTTCTAGCCACCTACGAAAGAAACTATAACAATCGTGTACTGAATGTGTCTAATAAATGTACAAGCATCAGAAGGTTCGTAAAAACTTTTGGGATGCTAATCTGTTTTGTGTGTTATGATAGAAACAGAGTTTTGCTCCCAAAGTTTGAGTATTCATAAATTCTACTAATGCTTAGCGCATATTTTGTAGAGTCTGATTTGTTTCATAGAGTGCTGCTCAATATATTCTTATGCTATGTAACTGTTGCTGAAGCCTAAAAAGAAAAATTATTTCTCCTAATCTAAAATTCTGCCTGCAAGCAAGGAAAGGCTATAATTTTTTCTGATGAGGCAAGATTCTCGAGGCAATTTTTTGGACAAAGCGCATTTTCTTTTCACTTCCCTAGCCCCTTTACAAAGCGCTATCTTGTTTGTATGAGTTTAGAACTCCGCGTTGTGCTTTCCATCCACAAATTTTACACGTTTCTTTGTTTTCCTGAAGGTGAAGTATAAGCGTTTCCATGTCCTAGTACTCCCGATTTTTTCTCTCGCTTTCTTTCTTGATGCATCTTGGTTTTATACATAAATAAACAGATTATGCTCTGCCCTACAAGACCTCTAGTCGTTCTAGTAAGTAGCACTAATTAGCTATTACTTGGAAAATCTCGTTTCAAACGACTATCAGCTCATTGCATTTAGCTGGCTTAGCCTCGTGACTCTTCGCTGCACTCAGTTTTTACATCCGCTCTGCGCTAATGTTTGATTGTGTGCTCTCGGCATGCCCTTTAGCAATGTAAGGCGATTATGAGAACAAAAGCCGATATGCGGATGGCACATGCTGTCACCCTTCACACTCAATATGCATTTGTGCAATTACGGGATTAAGCAGAAGTGTTGACAACTTCGCTCGCAGTGGAAAACATCTCCGAGAATGAGTTCATTCCATGCAAGGCCACCACATTGTGCTTGATGTTGAGTTTTGTGTGCAAAGTTTTCCAATTAGGATTGCGTGACGCACGAATGCTCAACTGACGAGATTAAATGTCACCCGAAAAACCGAAACAAAAGGCAGTTTCTGACTTTCTGACTTGCACTGGACTCGCTTTGAATAATCTTATTCTCCTCTTGGCACTGTACATCGCTTTGAATAATCTTATTCTCCTCTTGTTGAAAATGCGTTTAAAAGGCCGTACTCAGACTACTGACCGGTCCGCAGAACGTTTGTAAAAGTTCCGCCGGGTCACTTGCGGAAGTTCCTAAATGAGGTACAATCCAAGTCTTGCGCAAGTACTGGCAGGTCGAACTGCTGCGGAACCATTGGCATTTTTCGAACATCCGCAGCGTTTTGTACCAAGTCATGCGAGAGCTCCCATTTTCAACAAGTCTGACTTGAAAATTCAGCGGAAGTTCCCATTTCTAACGTTCCCACTTTTGTAATGGCAAGGAAAATCCTGCGGAACCACTGCAGATTGTTCTACAGAAGTTCCGGTAAATTGTCCGAGTAGGCATATTGCACAACCGTAACACGCCGTTAGGAATATTCTATACAGGATCGCCGTCGACATGCGTCGTGGCGGGAGAACTTTGACGAAATTTATGACAGGTTCACGCAGCGCTGATGGATACTGTCATGCATAAAGGGCGGCTCTGACTCTACAGTCTTCTGGTTCTGAAATGCAGTTGAGTTGCCGATGCAGAGAATGTACGGATTGCGTCTCCGCAGCGACGCAGTCGCAAATATTCGTGCTCGTTTCATTGTGCTGAGTTGTTGAATCGCTTTGTATTGTTTTCAACAAACATCTGCTGGCTTTTAGAATCGATAGTCTGTTCAGCAATAAAACAAATAAAACAAATTGTAAAATAACGGCGCCTCGAACGAATGGCTTGCGAAAACTGAATTGCGAAGAACAATGATTCGTTTACATGCAGACCCAATTTTCCAAGCTTCTTGTGCGTTCTTTTTATCAAGGATCTGAAATATTTTTCCGTGCGGTTGTACATATGTTTTGGGTTGGAGTTCCAGAAAGGTTATTTTCAAAACTAAGTTGAAAGGTAACACGTAAGCTCAATATCCTGACACATTAAAATTCAAGAACCATGACTATTTTGATACATAGTAGCGGCGAATGCCGAGGAAGGTACGGGAAGATTTGTTAGAACTTCGAGATCTACATGCGCCATAAAATGATGAAAGCGGGTGGTTCTTGATCGTCATGAAAATAATATCGTGATACTTAAAATTCAAATCACCCTTGTATGAAGGTTTTTATTCAGGATTGGATTGGCGCTACTTCATGATTATGAGCTTGCAAAGATTTGCAGTGAAACCTCAAGAGTTTTGAAAGACATCGCTAATGACTGTCATTCAGTTAATGTTTCTTTTTTTCTGTCCCCCCCCCCCTCCCACCCCATCCCTCCTCGCTTGAATATTTTGTATTCGAAGGTAGTGTTTCAGGTAATTATTAGGGAATTGCAGAGATTGTGCATCAAGCTGTCATGGCTGACCAAAGCCTGCTTCTCCTGCAAAAACTTTGCCCCTAATAAATTGACAAATAATGTTTGAGCAAACAACTCGTTCCCTCAAATCCCTGTATTCCCTGCTTTGTTTGAGTTTGTATGCTCTTAATGCTTCACTCTCTAGTCATCACGTCATCATAGCAACCATAGTGCTCACTAGACAATGACTACAATACGTTGCTGACGCGATTGTCGCCATTCCGATATTTATTTCCAGTTATTACGTAGAAGCAGCTACTCAATCGCAGTATCGTAGGGTCATTATTTTACTTTTCCACAAAAAAACCCATGTCTCCTTCATACTTGTTCAAATCCATATTTGACCATTGTATTGTGAATGCATCAGAACCTATTCGTTCGTAGCATAAGTTTTGTGCCACTTCCTTGATCTTCCCTTATAAAAATCTTGAAATCTTGGCAGGTATTTAGCATATATGAACAATAAACAAATGACTATCTATTGGCATAATTTTCACTTTTAAAGTTATGGAGCTTTATATTAGGTTGAACCGAAAGTTCTGTCGCACCATTTTCAAAAAATCATGACTTCTTTCGGCCACGACGATTTTGCTCAATTCAAATTTTGCCTGAAAGCGTAAAGCATGTAGCTCCCTGGGTAGTTTTCAACATGCTCAGGTGGCAGAGATAAAAATGAAAGAACGAGATCATTCGAAATTCGGACTTTTTAAGCAAGAATTCTAAGAATTCAGAAACAGTGCGATAAAATCCAGAAAAGCCATTATCCTAATTTTTCTTACATTTGATTACTAACTAAGTCAAGTTTGTGCTGATCGAGGTCTTCTTTTAGAAGTTATGAATTTTTGAAAAGAAATGCAAAAAAATCAATTTCCTGAGAATACTTAGGAAATTGATTTTTTGGCATTTCTTTCTAAAAATTCATCTTATATATAAAGCTGAATGTCTGTTTGTCTGTCTGTCTGTCTGTATGTGTGTACGTATGTTCCGAATAGAAAATTCCATTTCTGAACCGATCGGGACCAAACTTGGCACACATACACTTCGGGCCCCGGCGGGTGTCATAGGCTACTTTTCGTATCGATCGATATCGATTTTATCGATTTTTTGCAAAATTTGAGCTACGGGGCTGGGAGTTGGCACAGGGGGTAAGTGAGCATGGGGATTCCGAATACAATATTAGTTTTTGAAATCGTGCATTACTTTTATCGATTTTATCGATTTTTTTGCAAAATTTGAGCTACGGGGCTGGGAGTTGGCACAGGGGTAAGTGAGCATGGGGATTCCGAATACAATATTAGTTTTTGAAATCGTGCATTACTTTTATCGATTTTATCGATTTTTTTGCAAAATTTGAGCTAGGGGGCTGGGAGTTGGCACAGGGGGGTAGTCGAGCATGCTGATCACCCCCGTGGGGGTGATCAGCATGCCCGATTACACCCCTCTGCCAAATTCCAGCCCCCTAGCTCAAATTTTGTAAAAATTGATAAAATCGACATCGATCGATAACGAAAAGTGGATTGTGACACCCGCCGGGGCCCGAAGGGTATGTGTGCCAAGTTTGGTCCGGATCGGTTGAGAAATGGAATTTTCTATTCGGAACATACGGCGGAGCCGGGTAAGCCAGCTAGTAACTTCTAAAAGAAGACCTCGATCAGCACAAACTTGGCTTAGTTAGTAATCAAATGTAAGAAAAATTAGGATAGTGGCTTTTCTAGATTGTATCGCACTGTTTCTGAATTTCTAGAACTCTTGCTTGAAAATTCCGAATTTCGGATGATCTCGTTCTTTCATTTTTACCTCTGCCACCTGAGCATGTCGGAAACTCCCTAGGAAGCTTTTGGAAACTACATGCTTTACGCTTTCAGACAAAATTTGAATTGCGCAAAATCGTCGTGACCGAAAGAAGCTATGATTTTTTGAAAATGGTGCGACAGAACTTTCGGTTCAACCTAATAGTTATGAGTTAGGTAAATATAGGAGCAATTCTGTGACTGTACTCAAATCCCATTTTTTCCCTTTTTGAAAATTGTCTCATTCTTATTTTTTTAGCTCTCAGATTTTTCGTGGATTTCCGAGGACATCAGTACTAATATGAAGGCAGTTTGGATGTTTAGGCTCTTTAATAACGCAAGTTAGAAATTTGCCAAAATAATTCAGAAAAATTCTAAAAAATTCAAAAATTGGATCTTGCATGTGCTACGTGTGTATATTGAGAAGTTACAGACTTCCACTCGGTTCGGAGATGAGAAAAAATCTATTTTTAAAGTTTTGAAGGTTTTTCCTTCAAGTATAACAAAACTTATGTTACGACCCGATATTTACCTTTCAAGCAATATTGGGAAACTAGCCGCATGTGCAAAAATATGACATTTGTCACAAGTATCAAACTCAAAAATTCCAGCGAAAAGCACCACATGCAGATGTTTTTCTACCGTTTACAGCTGTTTATCCAATGACTTTGAATATTACGTAGGTATTGAAATCATCATCTGGTCTAATGCATTAGAGGAGCTTTGCTGTTTGTTGAACATCCGTCAGTATATGAAGCTTTGAGCTTCTCAACTCCGTCCAGCTAGTTTCATCTCAATTTTGTAGGAGTTTTATTGCAGAAATTTGCATGGCAATCATTTAAAGTCATCTTTTTTGCAGATTTACGGTTGACATGTAAAACAACTGATACTTTGAGTTTGAAGCGAGGGAAACGATGTTACGGGGTAAAATATCAGTCACTGGGGACATTTCTGTATCCAGAAAACGCTATTCAGCGTCCAGACTTTTCTCACTCAGCTTGCCTGATCAAAGGTCTGAAGAACTAGCTTTTTGTTGATGAGTTTGGTCTTATCCGTGCCGACTGCACTTCCATGTCTCCCTTCTATTGTTCCATAGTCTAGCCATTACTGCTTTCCAGAGAAATTGCAGTGCCAGAGCTGGCAATAGACGATTTTTCTAAGTTTTTGGAAGACGTTCAAAAATTCAAATCTTTTAGTTCTCCTACTTTGATGCTCTCTTATTCTAACCTCGGATTGTTTATGTTACAAGCGAGCAATTCACCACCTTTTCTTTTTTTCAGATGGAAGATGACTACGTGTTGATAGAGCGGATACCGTTACAAACTGGTCTTTCTTCCATATTGTTCCTCAACGTTTTGGAAGTGTTTTTACTTCTGGGAGCATTCGTCCTAAATCTGCTATTCCTATGTGTTTTATTACGGTATTCTGTATTCCATATTCATTTGCGTATTATATGCTTGCATATCACATCAGCTATCACATTAGTTACCATTTATTCACTGATAAGATCAGTGGTTAGCCTTCATCAATTATTCGGTAATCCACAGGTTACGGTAGGTATCACGAGCTCAGTCCTGCCTGGAATAGCCAAATCAAATCGTGTTTGCAGGAAGCAGACGATTCGTCCACTTGCCTTTTCTTACAAGAGGTGCCCACATGTTTCTGTGTACTTTTTATTATATTCCCACTATTACTGGTCATCGAAAGGGCGATCGCAACCGAAAAAGTGCGAGGCTATGAGGATTTCCATTTTCCCTCCGGAATGATGCGCCTATGCATGATTTTCGTAAGTTTTGTTTGTCTCAAGAAATTGCTTATTCACATACTCTGCACTGTGTAAACACGGTCAATCTAAAAATGAGGTGTAATAGTATATTGTGGCATATGAAGAATGTTTATTCTCCGCCGTCATCCGGGATTATTACCTTCGTCTAAAAGCTAATTAACTCTAGGCCCATGTATAGAGCTGCTATCTTGTTTTTTTCATCAAGGTTTAGCAACGAAAGGAAAGTATCTCCAGAGTAGTCATGGGACAATTTTTCTTACAGAGCCAGAAATTAGAGCAACCTCAAGTGTTTCTTTCCAAGGTATAAGTGATACATTAGATTTTCTGTGTCGTACGAAAAATATAATATAGAAATTCGCTCTAACTTTATCTGGAAACATTATTTATATTAGATCGATGCAGAAGTTCTCAGATAGTTCGACGAAATTCTACAACCTTAAAAACCTAAAAATAAAGACTAGCACCCATCCTGTGACCTACCCACTGAAAGCGTTCCAAAAATCGCAGTTACAAATTTGATGCTCAAAAATCGGTTGAGCCTCTAGCTAGTTTCAAAAAATCTTTAGAATTATATTAGTCATATCTTATTGTGGCGGGTTACAATCTCGAGAAATGCAAAGAATAAAAAATGCGTAAAAAATGTCATCTTACAAGAAAAGTATCCTTATTGCTGCAGGTTTTTGCGGAAATGCAATGCAAGACCAGAAATTTAATCTATTGTTCACCCAGGATACTGTTACGTTTTGTGGACGTCACACATTTTGCTGAAAAAGTGTAACAATAAGTTGATTGCAGGCTAATTTCGTCGTGAATTTTTGTTTTTGCATTTGCAGGCGATATTCAGCCTGCCACAGTAAGGTATGGACAATTGCTAAGTAGGAAGTTTTTGCAGATTTTTTGGGCTAGCTATGTAAATAGTGGGCCTTCAGTTCTTTCACACCAAACTTAAAATCGCATTCTTGAAAGCTTTGTTCTTGGCTAGCTCATAAAAAGTTATGCTTCAAGATTCATGGAGCGCAAACCTTGTACTATTTTCAGTGCTTGGCAAGCTACTCAAATCGAAGAGATAAACAAGAATCGAAAAATATTTACAGAGCCACTCACTCAGCATAGTTTTTTATGTGAGAAGGTCATGAAACGAAATCCGAAACAAGTATATTTCACTAGACTTTCCAATATTTTTGCAATCAAATTCAAAAACTTTAAGGCGTCATGATTTTTCATCAGACTGTCGCCTCAATGAGTCAATAGGAATTCTTCTTGTTGGGTACATACTAGAAAATACATGATCTCCTTTTCTTCGAACGGATTGGCTAAAATGAGTCTATATGTGACTACAGCGACCTTCTACACATGATTAGTGCTTCTCGAGGGACTCAACAACTTATTATATATAGGATTCTGGTGAATTACCGGTCCTCATTTTCTGGTAGAATCAAATGCTTTGTAAACTTGAACTCCATAACCTAATCTGCTAAAAGTTTTGTGGCGAAACCGAGCGTACAGTTCCACTTAGTATCAATTGCATAATTATTGCAAATTATTTAGTTTTTGTCCACTTCGTGTTTTCCTTACCGGTAGTAGCACTCTTAATCAATGTGTTAGATACCATGCGTTTAACATACTCTTTCTATTTAATCACTGTGTGAGAATAAGAATCTTGGTAATACAGGGTGTTTCAAAAAGATACGCCTATTGTTTGATCGTTTTTAACTCTTTTGTAATGAAGTCTTCCAAGAAGCTTTAGGTACCATTCCGTAGAGCTGGCTTCATCTCAGATTTAGAGTATGGGGCGATTACCGATCGCTCTTCATTACTGCGAGATTACTGTAGAAACTCAAGCATATGGTACCACTGTGAAAAAAGCTGCCTTCGAAAATCTGCAGATATTGTTAAAAGTGTAGTAGGGTTTTCACGGACGCTGAGTTCAATACACAATTAGTACAATATTGCGAAGCATTCTAAACGGTGTAAGCACTTTTAGGAACTTCGAGAAAACGGCAGCTACTGCTTACCTCGCATAACTTTTTAATAAAGCATTATGATAAGTTGAGAACTTCACATTTACAGTATAGGGAGTACTATTTAAAAACAGCAATACCAGTTACCTAGCGTGAAGTTTTCATGTTGTTTTGTTTACTTTTCGAGGCAAGATATGACCTTTCATGGCTCAAAACCCTCTTCAGAGTTCCCTACCGTAACCCTACAGTAATGGAGAGCAGTCGGTAATCCGCTCCATACCATAAACCTAGTTGAAGCCACCTCTACAAAATGGTACCCAGAGCTTCTCGGAAGACTTTATTACAAGATTTTTTGACAATGAAACAGTAAACAGAAAAAATTGAAACAGTAGGTGTTTTTGAGACACCATGTATTTTACAATAGAAAACCATGTCGATAATTTCAAAATGCTTCTAAAATCCTTCTAAATTCCCCACTTCCTACATCAGGAGCCATGCGCTTTCGCAAACGTTATTTTTGCAAACAGACCTTGCTTTTATTCAGTTTGCCATGCTCCATAGGAAAATTGCAAAAAGTCACATAATCAAATCGCGAGAACAATGGATATTTAATTTTGCAATTTTGCAACATATGCACGTTAGTTGTCAATAAAGCAATAAAAACTCCCAAATAGAACTTTCTCCTCTTGCAAATATCACGCAAAAGACATTAGAATTTTTTTTAGTGGATGCCTGCTACTGCATGGTTGATATTCGATAGCTTCGCTTTCGCCACGCAATCTTCTGTGCTTGGTTGCGAACTGAGAAATATCCGTAAACAATCATGGATGCAACGTAGCGTTTGGTATATGATCATCACATTCTTCAATCTCATATTTAGCTTCTTGCTGAGAGGATTGACCACGGTAGGTTTTTCGTTGAAGGTTCGACTTTTGCTATATTTTAAATCATAGCTTTGCAGAAAAACCAACGTCATGAGGTAGAGTCTGTGACAAGTGATCGTAGCCGGTGAGTGCCTTTTCTTATCAAGTTTTTGATCAAGTTGTATGAATAAGTACTCCATACGAGCCAGAGGTGTCATTACCTCATAGGGCCGTAGGTACTCTTCAAAATCCATTTAATATTAAAACTTTCGACTCTGATCTTACTCCAGTATTCAAAATTTTGCGATTATAAAAAAAGTATCTGCAAAGCTTTGCGTAAAAACTCAGTCATTGCAAAATAGCGTGTAGATAGATCGTGTTGGCGTTTTCAACACAGTAATTCTGAGAATATTTTCACTGAATTGTGTCCCTGAAGGTTTCCTAAGACAATTGACTTTCTGACTTCTTTCTAAAGCAGTACATCCTATGCATGCAATTTTCACACAATTTTCTAGAGACTGTGCTACTTTTGATCTCACCATCAGTGAAAGTTCGGGGTTAACTTGCCAAAAGGTTTTGATTGTTTGGTCTGTTTTTCACAGGACTTGAAACATTTTTTGAATGTTTTTATTGGTAAAAAAAAGATGTGCATTATAAAGTAGTTCACTTGCTCTTGAAATGTTTGCTTGTATTCTGCTCATTTATTAATCACAACGTGCAAAAAAAAACACTATTTTTGATTGTATTTTGTATTATTTTATTGTATTTTTTTGATTGTATTGACGAAAAAAATTAAACTTAGAAAGTTGCGAATACAACTCAGTATGATATGGCCCACGCCTTGAAAAGTTTTTTTCCAAGTTATCTTGGATTTCTAAGTTGTAAATTGTTGCGTGCTTTCGAGTAAAAACAAGTCCCTTGTATATTCTAACTCACGGCCACTTTCGAAATTTCGCAGCTTATTTTGGGGGGGGGGGGGGGGGAGAGGGGAGGGGGGAGTGGGCGCTGCGCTCCCTTGGTCCACCATGGTCGCTATCAAGCTCAATAGTCAAAATTGTGGCGAATCCCTAACTTCAATTCATTACCTTCAGGTACACGCTATCTCATCGCTTCCAACTTCGCGAAAATTCTCGGACATGCTCGTTTTTGGTGTCTTTACACAGCTTAATATGCATATCGTTTATCTCAATGTGTTTTGTCGACGTTGCGGTGACTGACTTAGGTCAAACAGATGATATTTATTCTGTTTTGTTTAGAAAGGTATGTTCTTTTCGCTCAGGGGGTATACTTGTTCGACTCTAATATTTTTCTTTCTAGGAAATATCCTTTGTTATTTCCCCTTTATTTTTAATCTTCTATGCTTTGAATTTTCTTTGTCGCTTGGATATTGTCTACGATAAGGCGAAGAAACTTGTTCGGACTTTGTACAATTACGAAGAAGGTTTGTGCTTTTTGAATTTTTTTGTTCGCATCATTCAGCGCCGTACTTTCAGAGAAGAATCTTCTCGCATAATCCGCACAACAGGCTAATTAATTATATGCATCGTATCTCTCTCCATACGTCGTCCTATACCATGGGTTCAATGCTTGATCTATCAAAGATTCTATTCAATCTCGACTTTATGATCTCGTAATCGTTTGTGATCTGCAATCAATTACCTTGCTATTGACAATATAATTATTGTGCAATAAAAAAGACAGTACCCATTCACTGCGTTCATACCACACTTGAAGGCGTGTCTCGGCAGATCTTGCACCTCGACCTTCCTGCATATTTTGGGCCTTCTCATCATGTAGAATTAGAACACGAGCTTTAATTTGGGTGAAGCGACCGTTATGAGGGCGTTCACACACTTTCCAAATAGAAGATTGGGTGAGAGTTCATATGAAAAGTCGGCCTTAGCACAAAAATCTGCCGCATGCACTTTTTGCATTGAATGGCATATACAGATATGGGGCAGCCGTGGTGGTTTCGCGCGGGAAAGGTAGACGGAATCGCCGATTGAGGCCGCCTTTTCGGGGCAGAGGTAACATGATGCAACCGGGCAGGACCGAAGATCAATGGGGTGACCAGGAATCCCTCTACAAAATCCTGCCAGACTCGAATCTACCGCGGACATTGCCTTTGATCTTCTGCAGATGCGAAAGAAATTCCCGACATCTGTAGGATGACAATGATTTATTTATGAAAAACAGTTGATTAAAATTTCGAAGATTGGTGCTTGTTTCTTTTTTTTATTCCGCTAAATGTTCATTTTTGTTTGGTAAAACATTAACACACTAAACGAAATCAAAATTTGAACTGCTTTTTTCCTTCTGCGTGGCATCTTGGATCTCATGAAGGCTAGTAGCACGAAGAATTTATTTTCTGAGGAAGCTGTGGGTTCGCAGGATTCTTTGCAAGGAGATGCGATTTTTTCCGATTTTTCAAACCGTCGGATTTTTTCGCTTAGGTCTTTGTCTTCTAATTTTGCGTGATGATGATGATGAAGTTGATGCGAATCAAAAATTACTTTGCTCTATGGAGCGATTCCAGAACCTGTCTAATACGTATGTATTATGACTTATTGCGGTTAACCAGTTTGCTGCAAGATGATATGGTAAGCTCCTTTGACAGCTTTTTTGAATGAGTCGAAATACATTGCCATGGCACTGACAATCATACATCTTCCAATGGATAGGAAAATGGTGGGTAAATTTGTAAAAATCAGGATCTGCCTAAGTTGTGCCTGTCATAGATTCCGCTTAAGATTCAATGTCCGTTTTCAGTAAGCAGGTGGGCTTTATATTTTGTTTTCTGAAAGCCGGATAGGCTCTACGATTGTACAAGAAATGCGATGCTCTATTTTTTTTCTTTGTAGCACGCCTCGAGCTTATTGCGAGATTGCAAGCTGAAGCAGGATGTTGATTTACCGGCACTGCTTTTGGTGGCCATCCGTGTCATTATTTGTGGGGAACATAGTCGTTTACAGTACAGGGTCTACTAGATTTGTTTTTTGCGGTGATATGACTTAACACCCGATTGCGCACCCAAATCAAAATTGGAGAAATAAGTTCTTCTTCACTTCTTCAGCTGAGTGTCTCTGGAAGCAAGGCACCGAAGCACTCCAAACACTGACCCTTACCTGCACCAGTGGCCATTTACTAAAATTGAATTTTACAGCGATGATACAGTGATGATTAGCAGTTTTTAGGATTACTGTGCACGACTGAATCTTATTGCTGGTAATCTCTATGTTTATATACATATATATATATAGCAGAAAATCGTGTGTGTGTGTGTGTGTGTGTGTGTGTGTGTGTGTGTGTGTGTGTGTGTGTGTGTGTGTGTGTGTGTGTGTGCGTGTGTGTGTGTGTGTGTGTGTGTGTGTGTGTGTGTGTGTGTGTGTGTGTGTGTGTGTGTGTGTGTGTGTGTGTGTGTGTGTGTGTGTGTGTGTGTGTGTGTGTGTGTGTGTGTGTGTGTGTGTGTGTGTGTGTGTGTGTGTGTGTGTGTGTGTGTGTGTGTGTGTGTGTGTGTGTGTGTGTGTGTGTGTGTGTGTGTGTGTGTGTGTGTGTGTGTGTGTGTGTGTGTGTGTGTGTGTGTGTGTGTGTGTGTGTGTGTGTGTGTGTGTGTGTGTGTGTGTGTGTGTGTGTGTGTGTGTGTGTGTGTGTGTGTGTGTGTGTGTGTGTGTGTGTGTGTGTGTGTGTGTGTGTGTGTGTGTGTGTGTGTGTGTGTGTGTGTGTGTGTGTGTGTGTGTGTGTGTGTGTGTGTGTGTGTGTGTGTGTGTGTGTGTGTGTGTGTGTGTGTGTGTGTGTGTGTGTGTGTGTGTGTGTGTGTGTGTGTGTGTGTGTGTGTGTGTGTGTGTGTGTGTGTGTGTGTGTGTGTGTGTGTGTGTGTGTGTGTGTGTGTGTGTGTGTGTGTGTGTGTGTGTGTGTGTGTGTGTGTGTGTGTGTGTGTGTGTGTGTGTGTGTGTGTGTGTGTGTGTGTGTGTGTGTGTGTACACATTTGCCATAGCCAGGAAAGATGAGCGGTGAAGCCCATTTTGATCTGCTGGTCATCAAGATATGGTAAAGACTGTAGGAAGCGAACCTATGAAAGTCAGAATCAAAAGAAGATAATTTTCCTACATGAGAAATCAAGCACGATGGACTGGAGCCGAGGTAGAATCCGGGATGCCAGCTAGTTAACGAATAAAGGATACCGAGTCGCGCTGGCGTTCAACTAGGAAGTATACATCATCATGGGCCCTGCGATACACTGATATCATATATACAGTGTTGAACAAAATCATTGGTCCACTCGAAATTGTCATTAGTCATCCTGTTGTTAATGAAATGTTCCAGAATTTGGTACAGGTACAGCCGTTTTAGCAGCCTACTAACATCATCAAAACGGTCTCGTTGTCGTTTGATTATTCAAGAAAAAATCAAAAATTTTGAAAAATGCAGGTTTGAAGGCTGGTCAAAATTAGAGGTCCACCTGGAGTTTTTACTCGAAACACTTCCGAATTTTGCAGGTAGGTATGCATTCAAAAATGTTGAACAGTTGCTCTAGTCATGCTGTGTCGCACCTTCGAAAGAACCGAGTATCTGTTTTTTTTTTGCCTTGAAAATGCTTTCATATGTGTTTCGCTTCAGAAATCACGTTTGTGCTTGATTGTTTGGTTCGAAAGTGATAGAGTTAATTTACCTTCCAAATGGTTTCTGACGTGAGCACTGAGGAACAAATCTGGGTCGGTAGAGACCTGTCGAAACTCGCAGTTATAACTGTGAGTCAACTCTAAGTTATATCTGAGTTAACGCGCATCTTTCTGATCCCCTTAAGAGGTGCATGAATAGACCAAATCTGGAAAACGGCAGACCTCCGTAAACGGTAGTTCACCCCTAGTAGGGAAAAATCGCCAAAACCGTCCTGCACAAGAAACAGCGCACCAAACGCGCAACTGAGCCCTGCGATAACTCTAAGTTTGCGCGCTCCACTCTACCGTGGAACTGGGAAATAGCTCCGAGTTTGGCTAGAGAAAGAGAAATAGTGACAAAAGAGAGCAGCTAGAAAGTCCTACAGGTTACATTTTTATCGTAGTCTCAGCAGGCATGATGGAGGTATCGTGGTGCGATATTTGCAAAATTTCGAAATTGTAAAACCTTGGCCCAGGGAGTTTTTCGGTGCTTTGGTCACGCAAAAAAAAACCAATCCATGCGATAAACCACCACTTCTTGACAGAAGTGCAAATGAGTGATCCTATCGATATAACATGTTTCGACATGCTTTGTGTAAATGCAATGAGTACATTATGCCAAAGCAATTTCAAGCTTCAAGGATATGTTCATGGCCTAGCGGCTTAGTGGTAGAGTCATCACACTAAACCAAACAGGTTCAAGTCTCAGTTCGAACGGGGCTTTTGCGGTAACCTGCATAACAGTAAACAAACAGCATATTGAAACTCCGACCTTGAGAGCTGGAACTCGGAACTTTAACAGCAGAACTAAGAGTTTTAATAAGCAAAACTCTGAGTTCCAATGATGGAACTAACAGTTATCTCTGAGTTAACGCGGAGATTTAAACTCGGAGTTTCGATCAGATTACTACCGACCCTGACTTTTTGCTGCTGAAGAAATCCGACATTGCAGTTGAACCTAAGCCTCAATTTCTGCTCCAAAAAATATCTGCGTGACCATTGTAACCTCAAGATATTGAAGAAGCATTCTTTACACAAGAACAGATTTGCACTTCGTACTCACAAGCATTCACAAAGCCGCTCTTTGCTTCTTTTTCCTTGCATGAGTTGCGCAGCGTAATAATGGTATTACCCATTTCCAAAGAAGTTTGCCAAGCGCTAGCTCATCTAGATTCTTGACAACAATAATCTAATATACAGTGGCAACAGTTTGTATACTGCGTTAGCCCATGATTCTCTTCAGAAATTCGGTCAGAGCCAGAATTAGCTTTAGTGCTGGTTGCTGCAGTCAATTTCTGCATTGTGATTACCGCAAATACTCTAATGCTAAGATCTCTAGACAGTTGTAATCATGGAGTACGGGCTCCTCTTCGTACGAACCATGCCTTTACTCTACTTAATGCATCTGAGAACATTGCAGAAGGAGTCTAAAGGCAAAAATTTCAGCTCAGGATTGAGTGATGTCAATGTCGGATTGCTTCAGCATCAAAAAGTCAGATTTTTTTCAATGATCACTTCGAAAAGCGTCTAGAATTTGGATCAAACCCCATCACTTTCGAACCAATTGAAAAAGCAATTTCTTACTCAAACGCAGGTTTCTGGAGATAACTACGTGTGAAAGCATTTTCAAGACAAAAAAGCAGATAATCGATTCTTTTGGAGATATGACAAAGCATGACTAGAGTAACTGTTCAACATTTTTTAATGTATAATTACCTGAAAAATCCGGAAGCTAGGAAGTGTCCCGATGAGTAAAAACTCCAGGTGGACCTACAATTTTGGCCAGCCTTCAAGCCTGCTTCTTTCCAAACTTTTGATCTATCTTGAATAGCCCATCGAAAACGAGACCCGTTTTGACGATGATAAGGCTGGTAAACACACGGCTGCATCAATTTTTGGAACGTTTTATTGCCAACAGAGTGAGTTATGGCATTTTTTAGAGTGGACCTATCATGCTGTCCAGCACAGTATAATAATATGTGAAAACTGTAGAACTCATCATACTTCGCCGAAAAAGCCCAAAAGCGTTTAACAAAGCCCAAAAGCGC